TAAAATCGAATTAGGTACTTATTGAAAATTAAGGAAATCGGAAAATCGAAGTTCTGAAAAATCAATTATTGAGCAGCTGAAGAACTGAATATACCAAAAATTAGAAAAACGATAGAAAGGTGGAAAAATTAAGAAAATAAAAAAAAACGAAAAAATGGGACATAAAATAGAGAAAATGAAACTTTAAAAATCGGGAAAATGAAAGATTTTTCAATTTTTCCGGCTTTCAATTTTTCGGGTTATTGGATTTTTTAATGTTTCGTTCTTTCAATGTTAGATTTTTCAGTTTTTCGATTTTTGAATTTTGGATTTCGTTAAAAAATTTTCATTTTTTCAATTATACAATTTTAGAATTTTTCGATTTTTAATTTTTGAATTTCTCCATATTTAATTTTTCCATGTTTCAATGTTAGTTTTTCGAGTCGTCAATTGTTTCGATTTTTAGTTTTTCAATGTTTCAATTTTTCACTTCTTCAAGTTTTTCGATTTGCAATTTATTGATTTTTACTTTATTTCCAATTTTTTAGTTTTGCGATTTTTCAACTTTTCGAATAAAAAAAATGGCAAAATTGTAACACTCAAAAATAAAAAATTAGAAAACGAAAAACTAAAAACTGGAAATCAACTAGAAAAATTGAGGAAACAAAAACTTTTAAAGTCGAAAGATTAAAAACTGAGAAATATAAAAAATGAAATATTGTAAAATCGAATTACTTCTTGAAAATTAAGGAAATCAGAAAAGCGAAGTTCTGAAAAATCAAAGAGTGAACAGTTGAAGCACTGAATATATGGAAAAAATTAAAGAAATGAAAAAAAGAAAAATTGGGATATAAATTAGAAAAAATGATACTTAAAAAAATGTGGAAAATGAAAGATTTTTTAATTTTTCGATTTGCAATTGTTCCGGCTTTCAGTTTTTCGTTCGACTTTACAATTTTGACGTTTCTATAATTTTTCGATGTGACAGTTTTTGAATTCGATTCGTTTTTTGTTCTTTCCAATTTTCAATTCACTAATTTTTTTCAACTTTTGAGTTTCTCGATTTTTAGTTGTTCAATGTTTCAATTTTTCGTTTCTTCAGTTCTTCGATTTGCAATTTTTCAAATTTCCACTTTTTTGGGATTTTTTAGTTTTTCGATTTTTCAACTTTTCTAATAAAAAAACCGGAAACATGACAAAATCGTAACTTTGAAATATCAAAAATAAAAAACCAAAAATCTGAAAATTGGGAATCTAGAACTAGAAAAATTGAGGAAACGAAAAATTAAAACGTCAAAAGATTCAGAACTGAGAAACTTCAAAAATGAAATATTGTAAAATCGAATTATTGAAAATTAAGGAAATCGGAAAATCGAAGTTCTGAAAAATCAAAGATTTAGCAGTTGAAAAATTGAATAAACGAAAAATTAGAAAATTGATAGAAACATGGAAAAATAAAGAAAATGAAAAAACAAAAAATTTTCATTTATTCGATTTTTCAATTTTTCGATATTTAATTTTTGAATTACTCCATATTTAACTTTCAAATTTTCCATCTTTCAATGCTACAGTTTTTCGACTTCACAATGTTGACGTTTCTATAATTTTTCAATCTGACAATTTTTGGGTTCTCCAATTTTTAGATTCGATTAGTTTTTTCGTTCTTTCCCATTTTTCGATTCATTAATTTTTTTTTCCATTTTTAAGTTTCTCGATTTTTTGTTTTTTCAATTTCAATTTTTCCCACTTTTAATTTTGCGACAGTAATTCTTTGAATTTCCATTTTTAAGTTATTCAGTTTTTCGATTTTCCAACTTCTGTTTTTAAAGTTCGCAATTTTTCAATTTTTTGATTTGCAATTTTTCCCACTTTCAATTTTTCGTTTTTTTTGGATTTATTCATTTTTCTTTTTTTTCCATTTTAGATTCTTCAGTTTTTCGATTTTAAAATTTTTCATTTATTCAATTTTGGATTTTTTCTAGTTTTCATTTAAAATTTTTCCATTTTTCAATTATTGGGTTTTAGAACTTTTTCAATTATTCGATTTTCTTTTTTTAATTTTTGAATTTCTCCATATTTAATTTTTTGATCTTTTAATGTTACAGTTTTTCGACTTTACAATTTTGACGTTTCTATAATTTTTCGATTTGACAATTTTTGGGATTTTCTAATTTTTCGATTCGATTCATTTTTTCTTTTTAATGTTTCTATTCAATATTTTTTTTTTGATTTTTAAGATTCTCGATTTTTAGTTTTTCAATGTTTCAATTTTTGGTTTCTTCAGCTTTTCTATTTGCAATTTTCCTATCTTCTACTTTTTCAATTTTACAATTTCTTGTTTCTTCGATTTTTCAGTTTTTTTTTGTGATCTTTTTTAGAAAATCTAAAATTTGGAAATTAAGAACTAGAAAAATTAAGGAAACGAAAAATTTAAAATCAAAAGATTAAAAATTGAGAAACCTAAAAAATCAAAAAAATGAAATATGTATTGTAAAATCGAATTATTGAAAATTAAGGAAATCGGAAAATCCAAGTACTGGAAAATCAAAGATTGAACAGTTGAAGATTTTTCAATTTTTCGATTTGCAATTTTTTGGGCTTTCAGTTTTCCGTTTTTTTGGATATTTTACTTTCACGTTTTGTCAATTTTTCGTTTCTTCAATTTTTGATTTTTTCTAGTTTTCATTTTAAATATGTAATAATAACTATAATTAAAAAAACACTTTTTCAATTTTTTCATCTTTCGGCCTGACAATTTTTGGGTCTCCCAATTTTTCGATTAATTAATTTTTTCCGATTTTTATGTTTCTTCAATTTGCTGTTTTTCGATTTTGCAGTCTCTCATTGTTTCAGCTTTTCGATTTTTTCGGATTTTTAGGTTTTTCGATTTTTCAACTTTTCCAATAAAAAAAAATGGGAAAATTGCAAAATTGTTACATTGGAAGCCTAAAAACTGAATCAAGAACTAGAAAAATTGAGGAAACGACAAATTTAAAAGTCGAAAGATTAAAAATTCCGGAAGTTGAAAATTAAGGAAATCGGAAAATCGAAATACAGAAAAATCGAAGCGTGGAAATTTGAGGAATTGAATAAACGAAATTTGTGATAGGAGTATAAAATAGAGAAAATGAAAATTTAGAAATCGGAAAAATGAAAGAGTTTTTAATTTTCCCTTTTATTCAATTTTACATTCTTTGGTTTGTCGATTTTTCATTTCCTTAGTTTTTGATTTGCAATTTTTCTAGTTTTCATTTTAAATATATAAAAACTAACGGAAGTTATATTATAATTTAAAACATTTTTCAGTTCTTTAATTTTACGATTTTAGAATGTTTCCATTTTTCAGTTTTTATATCAATTTTCGGGAAAATGGAGTGAGTCGTTCTTGATTTAATCAATGCAATAAACTGCCTCATTTATTAATTTTTGCGTCACCTTGTATAAGTAATTCTAAAAGCTATGAGTGCATTGATACACCACAAGTACAGAGTCGTAATATTTTGCATATTTCAGAGAGGATTTATTCAGCAAAATTTTGATTGACGATTTACCTTGATGACGATAACCTCAAATCGTTTGAAAGACTTCAGAGCATTCAGTTTTGCCGTTTCAAAGTTAAATTGCAAAATGTTGTTCCACAATTTTGATTTTTTTTCCCAAAAAATCTGGATGTCTAGGGTAAAAATTGAACATGGATTCATAAACCACATGTGAAGGATTATCTTATTTTATAGAATTGAAATAATAAGTAAAAATGTCATTTTTGAGAATGTATTTCGCTGTTCAAAAATCAATGTCAGAGACTTTGGTATAAAACAGGTATTTAAAATTTTTAAAAACAACATCCGACGAGCAAAAAGCAAAATTATTATTCTGAATTAAAAAAAGAAAAGTATTAGCGACAGATTTATCTTGAAACTATAACAAACACAAAATTAAAATAAATATTTGTGAAGACATTCTACTTTTTTGATTGACATATTTAAATTTTCCCAAATTTGTATTTGTTCAAGCTTTAGGTGTCCTTGAGGTCTGACAATTCCAAAGAATGGGCAGATTACATTATAAATACATGAAACGAAAATTTATGGCACACTTCAGAAAAACGGTAAGTTTAAGTATGAATAAACAATTGAAACAAACTGTCAGTGGCATATTTAACTAAAATTTGACACTTAACCTCCTCGAAGTGACGTCATGTCACTGGAACATAAAAATTACTATCACGATTCCAGTAGTGCCACCCTGACAATTCGTTTTTGACAATTCGTGACTAGAAATGCACTCAATTTAAATTGCAACTAAATAAAATTTCGTGGAATATGACATCACAGCTCACAGTGATAAATGAAGTGAAATCATCCAGTCTATTCTAGTATAGATTACTTTTGAGGTCACGACAACAAAAAACCACTACGATAAAAGAACAAAAAGACTTGAAGAACCCTAAACAATGCCAACTGGCACAAAGACAAAGCCCCATTTTACCATAAATATACACAAAAAGGTGGCACCCTTTATTTTCCAAACCGACAACCCCACACCTTCAAGGCTATTACAAGCCCCGCATAAATACACAAAGGGTCACAGCCCCACTTTATCACCTCCACCATCAAAAAGCAAACATGCTGGCGACCAATCGAACCTCGTCGTCACACTCTTGGAATCGCGATAACCCAGATAATAAATGAATAATCGCACCTGCACTCGCATTCCTCCGAACTAAACCTCGGCCCCGGTGCTTGGCACCGCCACCCCACTCGCCGCCCCTCGTGTTTTCGCCACCCGTTCACCCCATTAGGGTTGATTAAATTTGCAGCCTTCCTGTTAACTAGATATTACCAGATGGAAGCCGTAGCGAGCTATTTATACCGTCATTAAAGCGATTCCGGCCCTGTCATGGGCCGAAATAACCTAAAAATACTCTCGCGAGCTGTCAAATCCCCAGCCTACTCGGGCGAAGGGCCGCGAGACAAGGCGGTCCGGGGGCGCGCCCGGCGCCCGGGGGCGGCTGCACTCACCTTTGATTTCCGCGGCGGCGGGCCTCGGCCACGATATCGCGACGAAAGCGCAACACAACAGCACTAGGTGGTGGTACTTCATTTTCGGAATTGTTCGTATGGGTCTGTTGGGATTCTCTGTGTACTATAACATCAACACGATGGGTTTTTCGCACGATCCAGCTACACACACGCAGGCACTCACACCGGGGGCGCACTCTGACACCGAGATCGCATTTGGAGCACTCGATAAGGACAAGTAAAATGGCTGGCGATTATCAGCCAGGAAAGTCACGAGAGTAGTTTACGTAATCGCCGGCAGGCGAATGACGTCATTGACATGCGTACGCGAAAATTGGCGGCTTGGGGAAATTCGGCTGAAATGAGACTAAATAATGCTCGGTTGCTGTTTTTGAAAATTTTTGCAACCGGTTGTAATTTTTTAAACAGGTGGTAATTTTTCCAGCGATTTTCCTGGTTGGATGGAAACCTGTCTGAAATGTCAATGGAGTGCGCGCTACAGACAACAGATACCGCCACCTCTCGCGCTTGTTTCGGGTCGGTAAAGTAGAATGCGGTAGTTTAAAGTGTCACAAAAATGGTGAGTCGTTTTTAAAATTTTTTTAATTTGTTTTGGTTTAATCTCAAGACCATCGGGGTATTCATTTTGAAAATGTGAGTTTAGAAGAGCTCAACAATGTCTAGAATGCAAAACGTTCTAATTAGAAGCGCTCAAAATTCAAGAGTTCAAATTGCGCATAAAAGTCCCAGTACGGAAGGTACCCAATATCCAGAATATTTAACAAATTCAGGATAAACGCGTCTGAAATAGGTTAAATCAATTTATTTCTTGTAAAATACGGTTTATTGAACGTTATGTACCTACAGATATTCACCCTTCTAGGAGTTTAAAACTTCCACCAAGATCATGTCACTTTATTAGATGCTCGTTGCGCCGATTCCAATAATGTTCGTTCAGGTTGTTTTACCCTTAATTTAACAATCCATTTCTTTATTTTAACTTGTTGCTCCTCAGCGAAGCCAAAGAAGTATAATAATCGAGTCCATCGGGCGATTTGCTACTTTTATGTTTTGTCGACGTTTTATGACCCCTAGAGTACGAAAAAAGTGGTCCATTTTAATGTTTCGTTTTCAACTTTATTTTTTTTCAATTTCCCGACTTCCAAATTTTTCAATTTTTCGTTTTTACGATTTTTTAGTTTCTCAATTTTTAATTTTTCGATTTTTCAATTTTTCATTTTTTCAACTTGCAAGTTCTTAATTTATAATTTTTCATTTTCTGGTTTTTTGATATTTTAAGTTTTTGATTTCTACAATAATTTTTTGATATCACATTTTTTTGTTCTATCATTTTCATTATTTGTTTTATTGTTTTTTATTTTTAGAATTTTCAGTGTTTCGGTTCTATATCTTTTCTTTTTTTTTATCTTTAATTTTTTCATTTTTTCAATTTCTCGCCTTAGAAATTTTTCAATTTTTCGGTTTTTCTATGTTGCGATTTGCAATTTTTCGATTTTACCATTTTTTAATTTTTCAATTTTAATTTTTCGATTTTTCAATTTCTTAATTTACAATTTTCTAATTTTTTCGATTGTACAATTTTTTTATATCACTATTTTTCCTTCTTTCATTCTCTTTGTTTTTTTTTATTTTTCGATTATTCAGTGTTTCGGTTTTATATTTTTTCTTTATTTCAACTTTAATTTTTTTCAATTTTTCACTTTCCCGCCTTTCAAATTTTAAAATTTTTCGGTTCTTCAATGTTGCGATCAGCAATTTTTCGATTTTACCATTTTTTAGTTTCTGAATTTTTATTTTTGGATTTTTCAAGTTTTTAATTTATAATTTATAATTTTTTCGATTTTACAATTTTTTGGTATCACAATTTTTCGTTCTTCCATTTGCTTTTTTTTATTTTTCGATTTTTTACTGTTTCGGTTTTAAAATTTTTCTTTTTTTCAACTTTAATTTTTTTCAATTTTTCAATTTCCCGGCTTTAAAATTTTTCAATTTTTCGGTTCTTAATCTTGCGATTTGCAATTTTTCGTTTTCACGATTTTTTTGTTTCTCAATTTTAATTTTTCCTTTCTTCAATTCTTCAAGTTCTTAATTTATAATTTTTCATTTTCTTCTTTCTTTTATTTTCTTTATTTTTTTATTTTTAGAATTTTCAGTGTTTCCGTTCTATATCTTTTCTTTTTTTATCTTTAATTTTTTCATTTTTTCAATTTCTCGCCTTTGAAATTTTTCAATTTTTCAGTTTTTCTATGTTGCGATTTGCAATTTTTCGATTTTACCATTTTTTAATATCTCAATTTTAATTTTTCGATTTTTCAATTTCTTAATTTATAATTTCTAATTTTTTCGATTGTACAATTTTTTATATCACTATTTTTCCTTCTTTCATTTTCTTTGTTTTTTTTTTTATTTTTCGATTTTTCAGTGTTTCGGTTTTATATTTTTTCTTTATTTCAACTTTAATTTTTTTCAATTTTTCACTTTCCCGCCTTTCAAATTTTTAAATTTTTCGGTTCTTCAATGTTGCGATCACCAATTTTTCGATTTTACCATTTTTTAGTTTCTGAATTTTTATTTTTGGATTTTTCAAGTTTTTAATTTATAATTTATAATTTTTTCGATTTTACAATTTTTTGGTATCACAATTTTTCGTTCTTCCATTTGCTTTTTTTTATTATTCGATTTTTTACTGTTTCGGTTTTAAAATTTTTCTTTTTTTCAACTTTAATTTTTTTCAATTTTTCAATTTCCCGGCTTTAAAATTTTTCAATTTTTCGGTTCTTAAACTTGCGATTTGCAATTTTTCGTTTTCACGATTTTTTTGTTTCTCAATTTTAATTTTTCCTTTCTTCAATTCTTCAAGTTCTTAATTTATAATTTTTCATTTTCTTCTTTCTTTTATTTTCTTTATTTTTTTATTTTTAGAATTTACAGTGTTTCGGTTCTATATCTTTTCTTTTTTTTATCTTTAATTTTTTCATTTTTTCAATTTCTCGCCTTTGAAATTTTTCAATTTTTCGGTTTTTCTATGTTGCGATTTGCAATTTTTCGATTTTACCATTTTTTAATATCTCAATTTTAATTTTTCGATTTTTCAATTTCTTAATTTATAATTTCTAATTTTTTCGATTGTACAATTTTTTATATCACTATTTTTCCTTCTTTCATTTTCTTTGTTTTTTTTTTATTTTTCGATTTTTCAGTGTTTCGGTTTTATATTTTTTCTTTATTTCAACTTTCATTTTTTTCAATTTTTCACTTTTCCCGCCTTTCAAATTTTTAAATTTTTCGGTTCTTCAATGTTGCGATCAGCAATTTTTCGATTTTACCATTTTTTAGTTTCTGAATTTTTATTTTTGGATTTTTCAAGTTTTTAATTTATAATTTATAATTTTTTCGATTTTACAATTTTTTGGTATCACAATTTTTCGTTCTTCCATTTGCTTTTTTTTTATTTTTCGATTTTTTACTGTTTCGGTTTTAAAATTTTTCTTTTTTTCAACTTTAATTTTTTTCAATTTTTCAGTTTCCCGGCTTTAAAATTTATCAATTTTTCGGTTCTTAATCTTGCGATTTGCAATTTTTCGTTTTTACGATTTTTTTGTTTCTCAATTTTAATTTTTCCTTTCTTCAATTTTTCAAGTTCTTAATTTATAATTTTTCATTTTCTTCTTTCTTTTATTTTCTTTATTGTTTTATTTTTCAGTGTTTCAGTGTTATTTTTGAACTTTAATTTTTCATTTTTAAATTTTCGGAAATTTTACAATTCTTCAATTTTTTTATTTTTTAGTTTCTCAATTTTTAAGTTTTCGTTTTTTAAAGTTTAATTTTTTTTCAATTTTTCAATTCCCAACTTCCAAATTTTTCAATTTTTTGGGTCTTCATTGTTGCGGTTTGCAATTTTTGGTTTTTATGATTTTTTAGTTTATCAATATTTAATTTACAATTCTTTGATTTTTCGTTTTTTTAAAATTTTTAGTTTCTCAATTTTTACTTTTTCGTGTATCAACTTTAATTTTTTCATTTTTTCAATTTCCCGGTCTTCAAGTTTTTCCATTTTTCGGTTCTTCAATGTTGCGATTTGCAATTTTTCGATTTTACTGTTTTTTAGTTTCTCAATTTTAATTTCAGTTTTTCGTTTGTCCGATTTTTCAAGTTCTTAATTTATAATCTTTCTTTTTCTCAATTTTTAATTTTTAGATTTTTACAATTTTTTCATATCACAATTTTTCGTTCTTTCATTTTCTTTACTTTTTTGTTTTTCATTTTTAGAAATTTCATTGTTTCGGTTTTATATCTTTTCTTTTTTCAACTTTAATTCTTCATTTTTTCAATTTCTCGGCAATTTTACAATTCTTCGATTTTTCGTTTTTTTTTTATTTTTTAGTTTCGCAATTTTTCAAGTTCTTAATTTATAATTTTTCATTTTTTCGATTTTACGATTTCTTAGTTTCTCAATTTTAATATTTCGATTTTTCAGTTTTTCGTTTGTTCGATTTTTCAAGTTCTTAATTTATAATTTCTCATTTTTTCGAATTTGCAATTTTTTTGATATCACAATTTTTTGTTCTCTTATTTTCTTTATTTTTTAAATTTTGAGTGTTTTGTAATTTTTCTTTTTATCAACTTAAATTTTTTCATTTTTTCAATTTCTCAGCAATTTTACAATTAATTCTACGATTATTCGTTTTTTGAGTTTTTAGTTTCTCGATTTTTAGTTTTTCGTTTCTTCGACTTAATTTTTTTTCAGTTTTTCAATTTCCCGGCTTTCAAACTTTTCAATTTTTCGTTTCTTCAATTTTTCAAATTCTTAATTTAAAATATATGTATATGTAATTCATTTTTTCCATTTTATAATTTTTTGATGTCACAATTTTTCCTTCTTTTTTTTTTCACTTATCGATTTTTCAGTGTTTTATAATTTTTCATTTTTTCAATTTTTCGTCAATTTTACAATTCTTCGGTAATTCGTTTTTTGATTTTTTTTAACTTCTTAATTTTTAATTTTTCGTTTTTTCAACTTTAATTTTTTCAATGCTTCAATTTCCCGACTTCCAAATTTTTAAATTTTGCGGTTCTTCATTGTTGCAAGTTGCAATTTTTGGTTTTTACGATTTTTTAATTTTTTAATTTTTCGATTTTTACAAATTTTTGATATCACAATTTTTCGTTCCTTCATTTTCTTTAAATTTTTTATTCATTTTTATTTTTAGAATTTTCAGTGTTTCGGTTTTATAACTTTTCTTTTTTTCAACTTTAATTTTTTCAATTTCTTGACAAATTTACAATTCTTGGATTTTTTGTTTTTAAATTTTTTAGTTTCCCAATTTTTATTTTTCGTTTTTTTAACTCAACTGTTTGCAAGTTTTCAATTTCCCGACCTCCACATTTTTCAATTTTTCGGTTCGTCAATTTTGCGTTTTTTGTTTTTCTGCTTTTTAGTTTATCAATATTTAATTTTTCGATTTTTCAACTTTTCGTTTCTTCAACTTTGATGTTGCGATTTGCAGTTTTTCGTGTTTACGATTTTTTAATTTCTCAATTTAAATTTTTTGATTTTACAATTTTTTGTTATCACAATTTTTCGTTCTTTCATTTTCTTAATTTTTTTTTATTTTTCGATTTTCAGTGTTCCGGTTTTATAATTTTCCTTTTTTTCATTTTTTCGATGCCTCGGCGGTTGTACAGTTCTTCGATTTTTCGTTTTTGATTTTTTAATTTTCTCAGTTTTTCGTTTCTTCAAATTTTCAAGTTTTTGATTTTTATTTTTCATTTTCCCATTTGTTTAAATTTCATTTTCTCGATTTTCACAGTTACATCAGTTTTTCGTTTTTTCATTTGCCTTAGTTTTCTAATATTTCCTTCGATTTTACAGTTTTTCGTTTATGCAGTTTTTCAAATTTTGAATCACTGATTTTTTTATTCCTCGATTTTTCAATTTTTAAATTTTCTGATTTAGCAATTTTTGAATTTCTCAATTATCCGATTCTCCGATTTCTTTAATTTTCAATATCTCGGTTTTACAATGTTTCGTTTTTTCGATTTTGTCTTTTTTCGACTTTTAAGTTGCACAATTTTTATTTTGACTTTTCAGTTTTTCTGTTCTGTTTCTTCAATTTTTCAAGGTCTTAATTTTCAATTATTAGGTTTTTCAAAGTTTTCATTTTGTACTTTTTCTTTTTTCCATTTTTGATGTTTAAATGTTACAATTTTGGAATTTTTTAATTTTTTTGAATCGAAAAGTAAAAAAATTGAAAAATTAAAAATCAAGAAAGCAAAAAATCGGAAAAAATAGAAAAATCTAAAAATTGCAAAATCGAAAAATTGAAAATCAAACAAGTGAAGAAACGACAAATTGAAACATTAATCAACAAAAATTATTGAATAGAAAAATTGAAAATTCAAAGACGTATATGAAAACGTTTTAAAACTGAATAACTGAAAAATGACAAAATTCTAAAATCGAAAAATTGAAACAAATCGGAACCGAAAAAACAAAAAATTGTAAAATCGGAACATTGATATTCTGAAAAATTGTAAAATGAAGAAAATAAAAAACCGAAACGAAAAATTTCAAACCGAGAATTTGAGGAAATGAAAAATTGAAAAATCGAATGAATGAAAAGTTTTAAAATATGTACAGAAAAACGGAAAAATTCTAAAATTCTAAAATTGTAAAATTGAAAACGTGAAAAATTTAAAAAATTATCGTTACTATTACTTACATGTTTAACATGAAAACTAAAAAAACTACAAATAAAAAAGAGGAAAATTGAAAAAACAAAGGAATTAAAAAACCGAAACGAAAAATTGAAGAAACGAAAAATTAAAAGATCTAGAAGTTGTTAAAAAAAATCTAAACCGAAAAAATGCAAATCGAAAAATTGAAGAAACAAAAAAATGAAGAATTGAAAAATTGACGAAACAAAAATTTGGAAGAATGAAGAAAATAAAAAGCCGAGTCCAAAAATTGCGAATCGAAAAATAGAAAAAAAATTGAAATTGAAAAAGCAAAAAATTATAAAATCGGAACAATGAAAAATCGAAAAATTGTAAAAATAAAGGAAATAAAGACCGAAATAAAAATTCCAGTTAGAAAATTTGAAGAAATATACAATAAAAGAATCGAAAAATTGGAAAATTAAAAAATGGGAACTCGAAAATTGTAAAATGAAAATTTGCAGAATCTAAATTGTAAAAATAAGGGAAATAAAGACCGAAATACAAATTCCAATACCAAAATTTGAAGAAATGAAAAAATGAAAACTCGGGAAATTATTAAGCGAAAAATTGAAGAAACAAAAAAAGAATTAAAAAATTGCAAAACAAAAATTGAAGAAACGAAAAATTGGAAAAATGAAAAAAAAATGAAGAACTGAAAAATTGCAAAACTGTAAACTCGAGAAAAAAATCGCAAAAATAAAAATTGAAAAACTGAAATATATTTAAACTTGACAACTCGAAAAACTGAAGAAACCAAAAAGTGAAGTATTGTTATTGCTACTTACAGCACTAGTTTTACTTTATACAGGTTATCAGGAAGCAAAGATCGTATTTTTTTTAGAATTTTTTAAAGAAGCGGAATTTATTGGGCTACACTTCAGGGGCGAGGGAAGGTCTGTTAATCACTTTACACCAATTTTTCGACCTTTTCGTTGACATTATATTCTTTCTTTTCATATTTAAGTACTTCTAATTAGTTCGAATTTATATCAAATAATCACACGCATCAGCTAGAAACAAATTTACTAACAAGAATAAGCCTGATAAGAGAGACTTACATTACCTTCCAGGTATCTTCTGCGATACTGCGTTTTTAAATTTCACACTTATTTGGTATCAACCTTTACGTAACGCGCTTAATCTCCTGTCAAACAGTCAAGATAACACTTACCGCTTATACCTCTAATACACGATATATTTACTCAGTATGTCAGAATGTACTGGCTTTTGCTTCTTGTAACAGTGCACTCAGCCGCCAGTGCCAAAATTTTAGCAATAGCACCTACACCCCTATACAGCCACCAGAGTGTGTTCCGTTCGATATGGAGCGAATTGAGCCAGCGCGGCCACCACGTGACCCTCATCACCACCAACCCCATGAAAAACCCAACCCTTTCCAACCTAACGGAAATCGACATCAGCTTCACCTACAAGCTCGTCTTTGAAGACCACCAAATGCAACACGTGGTTAACACCGAAAGCAACATCGTCAAGTTGATGGCACACGTTTTCTTCGTCATGAATAATATGACGAGCGAGCAACTGAAACACCCCCAAGTGGAAGCGCTGGTCAAAAGTGACGACCATTTCGACCTGATGGTCGTGGAAGCCCATGTACCAGCATGGTTTGGTTTGGCGAAGAAGTTCAACTGTCCCCTCATCATCGTCACGTCTTTGCCGGCCACCAACTTCTTCAAGGGTGTTGTGGGGAACATCCACAACTTGGTGTACACCCACAGCTTCGATTTACCTTTTGGGGAGGATTTAAGTTTCGTTCAGAGGGTGGTTTGTGTGCTTTTTGGAATTTTTGATGCGGTCCATAACCGGTACTTGGTGTACCCGTTTCAAGAAAGGATAATTCGGGAAACTTTGGGGGATGAAAAAATCGACTTAATTGAGATTGTTCAGAATGTTAGTTTGATGATTACTAATGAAATTCCGGGTTTTAGTAAAGTTATCACTCATATTCCGTCAATGGTTCATACCAACGGGTTGCAAATTCAGCCACCCCAGGATCTCCCAAGCGACTTGAAGCAGTTTCTTGATGAAGCTCCCAATGGGGTGATTTACGTCAGTTTGGGTTCAACCGTCAAGAGTTACTTAATGTCGTACGAAAAAAAGTTTGTTCTGTTCGAGGTTTTGGGTGGGTTGGCGTACAAAGTCGTCTGGAAGCTTGAAGAAAAAGTTGACCAGGTGCCTCAAAATGTGAAAGTCGTGTCATGGGCACCTCAACAAGATATTCTCAGGCACCCAAATACCAAACTTTTTATAAGTCAGGGGGGTTTGCAGTCCATAGATGAGGCTATAAGGTTCAAAGTACCGATTTTGGGGATTCCGTTTTTCGGGGATCAGTTCTACAACTCGATAAGGGTGAAAGAGTTGAAATTGGGTTCGTGGATTGAGTTACACACGTTAACTAAGGAGAAACTGAAGGAGGTGATTTTGGAAACGGTGGATAATAGCACGTAAGGGTCTGGAATTACTGAAATTTTGTAACTTATAGGTTTTGACTGTAGATATTTAAAGAATTTGGAGGAGATGTCGGGGTTAATGGAACACCCACTAAAGTCGGTGGATAAGGCAGTGTGGTGGATCGAATACGTGATTAGGCACAAAGGGGCCATTCATTTGCGAAGCCCTTTAGCTGGTATGCCCTTTTATCAGTACTATTTGTTGGACGTTGGTGGATTCCTCCTAGTGATTTTTATCGTTGGAGGTTTCATATCTCTTAGATTGGCAAAATTCGCCTGGAAGCAGTTTCGACAAAGAACCTTCACGAAGGTGAAGTTACAATAAATGGTATTATGACTAAGACTTTTTTTTCAATTTCCACTGCGCTATTCAATGCAAGTCCGTGATGTCCTTGACCTTCATGGAAGAGTTTTTCGTGGATAAAAACACCCGTCTTTGTGATTTACAGCAGAGATTAAAAAATTCGGTTTACAGGGTATTTGCAGATACCGAGAACCTTGGCCAAATTATTATTTTACTCAAATCGCTTTGTGTAAACTAGAATTTGGCACAGTAATTTCAACCGTCCATAATACTTTTAATCGCCTGACAAATAGTGAAAATAACACGCATGATTTAGGTTATTAACATACTTAATTCGTCGTTTGACATTTGATAAAGTTCTCTCTCTTTGTACTCGTCGCAAATTTTAAAAAAGTTGTCTAAAAATTATGAAAAAATTCACGGACGTAGATCCCGACACGCTGATTCCAAAAATATAGCATGTTGATGGTCGCGAAGCAACATTTTCAAAAAAATCGCTGCGAAATGCGAATTTTTGAAAATTTCAAAAATTTCGAAATTTCAACGGTCGATTCTGGAAAAACGGTTGCATATATCAAAAAACCGAAGCCGGATTTGAGTTCTACGGCTCGAAACCTACAAGAAAATGTACTTAGTTGAGTTCCGAAAATGTCAAAATTTTTGCGAAATTTGAAGAAGGGGGGACCGTTAAAAAATTTCAATTTTAAAAAAGTTGTCTAAAAATTATGAAAAAATTCAAGGACGTAGATCTCGACACGCTGATTCCAAAAATATAGCATGTTGATGGTCACGAAGCAAGATTTTCGAAAAAATTGTTGCGAAATGCGAATTTTTGCAAATTTCAAAAATTTCGAAATTTCAACTGTCGATTCTGGAAAAACGGTTGCATGTATCAAAAAACCGAAGCCGGATTTGAGTTCTACGGCTCGAAATCTACAAGAAAATGTATTTAGTTGAGTTTCGAAAATGTCAAAATTTTTGCGAAATTGGAAGAAGGGGGGACCGTTAAAAAATTTCAATTTTAAAAAAGTTGTCTAAAAATTATGAAAAAATTCAAGGACGTAGATCTTGACACGCTGATTCCAAAAATATGGCATGTTGATGGTCACGAAGCAAGATTTTCGAAAAAATCGTTGCGAAATGCGAATTTTTGAAAATTTCAAAAATTTCGAAATTTCAACGGTCGATTCTGAAAAAACGGTTGCATGTATCAAAAAACCGAAGCCGGATTTGAGTTCTACGGCTCGAAATCTACAAGAAAATGTATTTAGTTGAGTTTCAAAAATGTCAAAATTTTTGCGAAATTTGAAGAAGACCGTTAAAAAATTTCAATTTTAAAAAAGTTGTCTAAAAATTATGAAAAAATTCAAGGACGTAGACCTCGACACGCTGATTCCAAAAATATAGCATGTTGATGGTCACGAAGCAAGATTTTCGAAAAAATCGTTGCGAAATGCGAATTTTTGAAAATTTCAAAAATTTCGAAATTTCAACGGTCGATTCTGGAAAAACGGTTGCATGTATCAAAAAACCGAAGCCGGATTTGAGTTCTACGGCTCGAAATCTACAAGAAAATGGATTTAGTTGAGTTTCGAAAATGTCAAAATTTTTGCGAAATTTGAAGAAGGGGGGACCGTTAAAAAATTTCAATTTTAAAAAACTTGTCTAAAAATTATGAAAAAATTCAAGGCCGTTGATCTTGACACGCTGATTCCAAAAATATGGCATGTTGATGGTCACGAAGCAAGATTTTCGAAAAAATCGTTGCAAAATGCGAATTTTTGAAAATTTCAAAAATTTCGAAATTTCAACTGTCGATTCTGGAAAAACGGTTGCATGTATCAAAAAACCGAAGCCGGATTTGAGTTCCACGGCTCGAAATCTACAAGAAAATGTATTTAGTTGAGTTTCGAAAATGTCAATTTTTTTGCGAAATTTGAAGAAGGGGGGACCGTTAAAAAATTTCAATTTTAAAAAAGTTGTCTAAAAATTATGAAAAAATTCAAGGACGTAGATCTCGACACGCTGATTCCAAAAATATAGCATGTTGATGGTCACGAAGCAAGATTTTCGAAAAAATCGTTGCGAAATGCGAATTTTTGAAAATTTCAAAAATTTCGAAATTTCAACGGTCGATTCTGGGAAAACGGTTGCATGTATCAAAAAACCCAAGCCGGATTTGAGTTCTACGGCTCGAAATCTACAAGAAAATGGATTTAGTTGAGTTTCGAAAATGTCAAAATTTTTGCGAAATTTGAAGAAGGGGGGACCGTTAAAAAATTTCAATTTTAAAAAACTTGTCTAAAAATTATGAAAAAATTCAAGGACGTAGATCTCGACACGCTGATCACAAAAATATAGCATGTTGATGGTCACGAAGCAAGATTTTCGAAAAAATCCTTGCAAAATGCGAATTTTTGAAAATTTCAAAAATTTCGAAATTTCAACGGTCGATTCTCGAAAAACGGTTGCATGTATCAAAAAACCGAAGCCGCATTTGAGTTCTACGGCTCGAAATCTACAAGAAAATATATTTAGTTGAGTTTCGAAAATGTCAAAATGTTTGCGAAATTTGAAGGTTAAAAAATTTCAATTTTAAAAAAGTTGTCTAAAAATTATGAAAAAATTCAAGCACGTAGATCTCGACACGCTGATTCCAAAAATATAGCATGTTGATGGTCACGAAGCAAGATTTTCGAAAAAATCGTTGCGAAATGCGAATTTTTGAAAATTTCAAAAATTTCGAAATTTCAACGGTCGATTCTGGAAAAACGGTTGCATGTATCAAAAAACCGAAGCCGGATTTGAGTTCTACGGCTCGAAATCTACAAGAAAATGTATTTAGTTGAGTTTCGAAAATGTCAAAATTTTTGCGAAATTTGAAGGAGGGACCGTTAAAAAATTTCAATTTTAAAAAAGTTGTCTAAAAATTATGAAAAAATTCAAGGACGTAGATCTCGACACGCTGATTCCAAAAATATAGCATGTTGATGGTCACGAAGCAAGATTTTTGAAAAAATCATTGCGAAATGCGAATTTTTGAAAATTTCAAAAATTTCGAAATTTCAACGGTCGATTCTGGAAAAACGGTTGCATGTATCAAAAAACCGAAGCCGGATTTGAGTTCCACGGCTCGAAATCTACAAGAAAATGTATTTAGTTGAGTTTCGAAAATGTCAATTTTTTTGCGAAATTTGAAGAAGGGGGGACCGTTAAAAAATTTCAATTTTAAAAAAGTTGTCTAAAAATTATGAAAAAATTCAAGGACGTAGATCTCGACACGCTGATTCCAAAAATATAGCATGTTGATGGTCACGAAGCAAGATTTTCGAAAAAATCGTTGCGAAATGCGAATTTTTGAAAATTTCAAAAATTTCGAAATTTCAACGGTCGATTCTGGGAAAACGGTTGCATGTATCAAAAAACCCAAGCCGGATTTGAGTTCTACGGCTCGAAATCTACAAGAAAATGGATTTAGTTGAGTTTCGAAAATGTCAAAATTTTTGCGAAATTTGAAGAAGGGGGGACCGTTAAAAAATTTCAATTTTAAAAAACTTGTCTAAAAATTATGAAAAAATTCAAGGACGTAGATCTCGACACGCTGATCACAAAAATATAGCATGTTGATGGTCACGAAGCAAGATTTTCGAAAAAATCGTTGCAAAATGCGAATTTTTGAAAATTTCAAAAATTTCGAAATTTCAACGGTCGATTCTCGAAAAACGGTTGCATGTATCAAAAAACCGAAGCCGCATTTGAGTTCTACGGCTCGAAATCTACAAGAAAATATATTTAGTTGAGTTTCGAAAATGTCAAAATGTTTGCGAAATTTGAAGGTTAAAAAATTTCAATTTTAAAAAAGTTGTCTAAAAATTATGAAAAAATTCAAGGACGTAGATCTCGACACGCTGATTCCAAAAATATAGCATGTTGATGGTCACGAAGCAAGATTTTCGAAAAAATCGTTGCGAAATGCGAATTTTTGAAAATTTCAAAAATTTCGAAATTTCAACGGTCGATTCTGGAAAAACGGTTGCATGTATCAAAAAACCGAAGCCGGATTTGAGTTCTACGGCTCGAAATCTACAAGAAAATGTATTTAGTTGAGTTTCGAAAATGTCAAAATTTTTGCGAAATTTGAAGGAGGGACCGTTAAAAAATTTCAATTTTAAAAAAGTTGTCTAAAAATTATGAAAAAATTCAAGGACGTAGATCTCGACACGCTGATTCCAAAAATATAGCATGTTGATGGTCACGAAGCAAGATTTTTGAAAAAATCATTGCGAAATGCGAATTTTTGAAAATTTCAAAAATTTCGAAATTTCAACGGTCGATTCTGGAAAAACGGTTGCATGTATCAAAAAACCGAAGCCGGATTTGAGTTCAACGGCTCGAAATCTACAAGAAAATCAATTTAGTTGAGTTTCGAAAATCTCAAAATTTTTGAGAAATTTGAAGAAGGGGGGACCGTTAAAAAATTTCAATTTTAAAAAAGTTGTCTAAAAATTATGAAAAAATTCAAGGACGTAGATCTCGACACGCTGATTCCAAAAATATAGCATGTTGATGGTCACGAAGCAAGATTTTCGAAAAAATCGTTGCGAAATGCGAATTTTTGAAAATTTCAAAAATTTCGAAATTTCAACGGTCGATTCTGGAAAAACGGTTGCATGTATCAAAAAACCGAAGCCGGATTTGAGTTCTACGGCTCGAAATCTACAAGAAAATGTATTTAGTTGAGTTTCGAAAATGTCAAAATTTTTGCGAAATTTGAAGAAGGGGGAACCGTTAAAAAATTTCAATTTTAAAAAAGTTGTCTAAAAATTATGAAAAAATTCAAGGACGTTGATCTCGACACGCTGATTCCAAAAATATAGCATGTTGATGGTCACGAAGCAAGATTTTCGAAAAAATCGTTGCGAAATGCGAATTTTTGAAAATTTCAAAAATTTCGAAATTTCAACGGTCGATTCTGGAAAAACGGTTGCATGTATCAAAAAACCGAAGCCGGATTTGAGTGTAACGGCTCGAAATCTA